CCCCTTTCCCACTCCCAGCCCTCTTCCTCCTCGTGGTCCGATTTGCTAACACCGGCGCGACCCGCACTTTGCCCCCGCGGGCCGTGCCGTGCCGTGCCCCAGGCCCTGTGCTGGTGGCTCTCCTCGGCTCCCGGGGGTGATGTTGTTTACTCCCCAGGTCTCTGGGCGCTATGACAGCCGCCAGGACTGTGATGAAAGCGGTCAGAGTGTTTGAATTTGGTGGCCCTGAAGTGCTTAAACTCCAGTCAGATGTCTTAGTTCCTGTTCCAAAAGAAAACCAGGTACACGTGAGCTCTGCGGAGGGAAGCAGCAATGGTGAATGCTGACAGGTACCTGCAAGGCAGAGCGAGGAACAACCCAGAACGCTTCACCCTGAGCACGTGGGTTTGATCAGTGTGTTCATCCTGCCTGAGATCTCGTGTTTAACAAGAGTGGGCTCTGTACTGTCCCGTGGGCTACATATTCCCCGTTGAGGTCTTCCTGAAATTAGCTGCAGTTCAACACTGGCTTGTTCCAAACGCTCTGTGGCAATTCAGTTAATATGCCTTGATGCTATGCTGTGAATTCAAGGGATAAATTGTTTCAGTTATTGCTTAGGAGGCATCTTTTCTTTTAGGTGCTAATCAAAGTCCATGTCTGTGGGGTCAATCCTGTGGAGACATATATTCGTTCCGGGACTTACGCCAGGAAACCTGCTCTGCCCTACATCCCTGGCTCGGATGTGGCTGGGGTGATTGAGGGTGTGGGGGAGCATGTCACTGCATTCAAGGTACTTACACACTAGGGGTTAATCACTGTTGTGTAGTGTGACTGCTGTGCTGCTGTACCTGGTATGGTTGCTTATAATCATGAAACCTGTTCAGGGGGGGATATACCTCTCATGGGCTGGGAAAAGCACACAGTGGGATCCCATTGCCAATTCAGCTTGCAGGTGAGACTGTGGGGAATGCTGTGGCCTCTGGGAGTTCAGGGGTCTCAGAAGAGGCACTTCAGTGTGGCTTCTTAAAGCAGTGACACCTGGTGTGCAAAAGCTGGGGCCCAGAGCCAATTTTGTGGCATTGCAGAAATAGTTGAGACTGGATGATTCCTGTCTGGGGCAATATTTCATGCAGAACTGAAACAACTGTTTCTGCAAAGTTTTTTGGGAAACGGAAATTGCTTCCTTATAAAGGCCCATAAATTACCTATTTCTTGTTAAAATGCTTCAAATACTGCATTCCTCAAGTCTAGTAATTTTACTTGGATTTCTCAGGGGGAATGGCTTGGGACAGGAGAAGGCAAATATCAGTTCACAAAAAGATATCTATGACATTTATTTAGCTTTTAAATCTATTCTCCCTTTCAAGGCACTAGAGTGTGGGTCCCAAACATAAAAACTGTAGTTAACATTGTGCTGGAATTTGTCTATTTTAATATGTAACAATTTTGGGAGAGTTTGGTTATCTAGAGAGAAGAATCATCTGCGTTCATATTTCCTTACCAGCAGTTTGCTGTATGTGTTGTTTGTTTCCTGTGGCCATCATGGTGCTCTTGGCTGGAATGAGAGAGAGATGTGTTAGGGGATATTAAGAGTATGTGTTTTTCCATATTTAAACAAAATAATTTAGAAATGTTTTGTGTTTGTGAAAACTTTTGATGTTTTGCATTTGTGAATGGAATTCCTGAGAGTTCAACTTCATTAAGGTCCATATTAATGAGGCAGTAGGTTTGTGTGGTGCGCTGCAGAGTGGGGTTGTAATTGTGACACTTATATTGAAGTGTATGAAATTACACGGTTTGTATTGCACTGATAGTATGTATCAGCATGTTTAAAAATGCCTGTGACGATTGTGACTGGTGATTTTTAACAGGTGAGCTGGTAGTAACAGCCTAAACCTCTGTGAGGAACTAAGGAAAAAATAAGGGAAATGATTGATTTCTCTGTGTTCTAGGAAGGTGATAGGGTTTTCACCCTTGAAACAGTCTCAGGAGGATATGCAGAGTATGCAGTCGCTGCAGCCAACAGGGTTTATCCTCTGCCGGACAAACTGGACTTCAGGCAGGGAGCAGCAATCGGAGTGCCCTACTTCACAGCCTACAGGGCCCTGTTCCAGAAGTAAGGCACCAAACCCACCCTTGGGCATTGAAATTTGGGGTATTTGAAGTATCAGAGATCACATTTTCATTGTTCTGTGAAGTGGGGAGATCAGTGAGTGGGAACTGTGTACAGTACTGTGTGTACAGTTCTGGGCCACTCATTTCAGGAAGGATATTGAGGTGTTGGAGCAGGTCCAGAGAAGAGCAATGAGGCTGGTGAAGGGACTGGAGCACAAGTGCTATGAGGAGAGGCTGAGGGAGCTGGGATTGTTTAGCCTGGAGAAGAGGAGGCTCAGGGGTAACCTTATCGCCCTCTACAACTCCCTGAAAGGAGGTTGCAGTCAGGTGGGGGTTGGTCTCTTCTCCCAGGCAACCAGCAGGAGGACAAGAGGGCACAGACTCAAGCTCTTCCAGGGGAGGTTTAGGCTGGATATTAGGAAGAGATTTTTTACAGAGAGAGTAATCAGGCATTGGAATGGGCTGCCTGGGGAGGTGGTAGATTCACCATCCATGGAGGTTTTCAAGATGAGACTGGATATGGCGCTTAGTGCCATGGTCTAGTAATGACGGTAGGGTTGGACTTGATGATCTTTGAGGTCTCTTCCAAGCTGGCTGATTCTATGATTCTATGAAACATGTAGCACACTGTTTGCTGCACTGATGGAATCATCAGATGATTGTGGCCTGGAAGCTGGCGACTGTTTTCCTGGAAGTGTTTCTTCTTGAGATAACAGACCTGGAAAGGCTTCATGTAATAAAATGTGTGTCTCCCTTTCAGCACTCACTGGTACATTAGCCAGGGGAGAACA